GCTTGTAACTTATAATTCTTCCCTGAAATTCTGAGGCCTCTAATTCTATTATTTCCTCTTATTTGTCTATTCAGAGTTTCTAAGGTTAGAATAAACAGCAACAGAGATAGAGGGCAGCCCTGCCTCATGCCTTATTCGATTTGGTTATTTGACCATTGACTTTGATCTTAGCCTTCTGTTTAGTGTATATTGCTTTAATTGTTTATAAAAAAATTCCTTCTGCCTCCATCTTATTTAATTACTGTAGCATGAATTCCCAGGCCACATTATCGAAGGCCTTTTCTTTGGCTAGGAAGATGAGCATCATTTGTTTTTCTGGATGTGTATCATAATATTCCAGAATGTCTATTATTAATCTTATATATGATGTAAGTTTCTGTTTGGGTATGAAGCCTGTTTGATCCTTATGTATCATTTCAGTAAGTACTTTCTTTAATCTAGTTGCCCAGATGGATACATTTTCAAGCAGCCACATCTAATGTTCATCCAAGCCAGAGCAGGCACACTGTAATGAATATGACTTCAGCCAAAGGTGGCCACCAAATCCTACATCAACTTCATTTAACTAAATTGACAGCTTCCTGATCTCCCACCATGATACATTAGCACTGTAGGGTTTCTTTAAAAAATGAAGCCTGGTCTAAGGTCACTGGGACCAATATTGTGCTTTTATTTATTTTTTAACTTGAAAACGTATCTACTGGGACAATTCCATATCCACTCTGAAACTGCTGACTCAAATGTTGTCTGTGTGTGACGTGTAACTCTATTTCACCAGTTAACTTCTTTGCACACCAAGCCTCTCATCTTGCTCTCAGAGGGAATGTCAGAAAGCATTGTCTGTTGGGGCAAGAGAAGGATTCATTTCTGAAGAGAGAAGGAAGTTTATTACAACATTCTACTGATGATTTTTAGGGACGTGGTGGCACTGCGGGTTAAACCACAGAAGCCTCTGTGCTGCAGGGTCAGACCAGCAGTTGTGAGATCTAATCCATGCGATGGAGTGAGCTCCTGTTGCTTGTCCCAGCTCCTGCCAATCTAGCGGTCTGAAAGCATGTAAAAGTGCGAGTAGATAAATAGGATCTACCTCGGTGAGAAGGTAACAGTGTTCTGTGTCTTGTTGCGCTGGCCATGTGACCATGGAAATTGTCTTTGGACAAATGCTGGCTCTACGGCTTGGAAACGGGGATGAGCACCGCGCACTATAGTCGGACACGACTGGACTAAATGTCAAGGGGAACTTTTACCTTACTGATGATTTTTAAAGATTACATTTGTAATCTGTTGTTATAACCATTAGTTGGAACAAATGCTACCTAAAGCATAACATGCTTCACTATGCTTTACTTTCATGTTCCTTGTAGAGTATATAATCTTCTCTCATATCCACATAGAGAATGTGGTTGATTTTAAATGGCAATAAAGTCCTAAAACTATAAAGAGCATATTATTTTATCAGGAAATGTTACCAAATTGTCCATTGTTAATGAAGTCATCCTTGTTAACTGCTATAAAAATGGGCTTGAACCTTGAAGGTCAGTGATAGGCATCTACAAAAATTCAGAACACAGAGCAGCTCAAGGAATATTTTAACTTCATCACCACCACCACCACCACCACCACCACCACCACCACTACTACTACTACTACTACTACTACTACTACTACTGCTGCTGCTGCTGCTGCTGCTGCTGCTACTACTACTACTACTACTACTACATGTCAGCCATGTTAAATATTCAGGACTAAAATGCAACAACAAAGTATATAGTGTTTATAGTCAATACAAAGCAGACTGAAATTTAGATTACAATTATGAGCTCCTAATTTGATTACTGCAATGATTTAGTCATCTGTATAAGTCACTGCACAGAATTTTGCAACTGCAGCTGTAAACTCACTTGAAAAATCAGAAAGGAGAAAAAAGATGTAAAATTTATTGGGTCTACCTGGATAATGTTTTAAAATTAGGAAAATACGTAGATTGCATGAATCTTTATAAAATGTTTAGTTTCACAGTTTCCACCGTACCAGGGGCAAAAACATTGATCATAAGGGATATGTAAGACTAACCTTCCTCTAAAAAACTTGAAGGCAGAGCATTGAAACAGACCAGGATGAAAGCTCTCTGATGTCTTGGGAGTTCTGAATTACAAAGGTAATCTGCTGAGATAAAGATCTTACTACGATTCCCAGCCACTGAGTAGTATGGGAAATGTGCTCTGCCAAGTTGCAAAGCTGTATCCCATATCCACTTCCAAATAGTCTCTTTGGCTTTCATAAATGCCAAATGTCACAGGGCCGGCCGGGATAACTCATAGGACATTAATTTTCCTTCCTCTACTACTGTCCAGCCTGAGGGGTGATAATCTTTTAAAATCAGAGGTGCTAAAACAATAGGATTAAGCTTTTACTTCAGCCAGTGATTGATTATTAGAAGCCAAGCACTTGCTTCAAGAAGGACCATTCTAGCTTCTGTTCTGAGTAAGGCATAGGTTCTTAACCTGTTGTCTGTGGATGCCTGGGGACCCACAATGTCTTCACAGGGGGTCTACAAAGTTTTGAAGAAATGTTATGATCTTTTGCAGTTAAAATAGGAAGGAAGGGAGGGAGGGAGGAAGGAAGGAAGGAAATGTAGAACAAAATCTTAATATCCTTTGCTTGTTCGTGTAAAACATGGCTTTTCTAACCTCCATTAAAAACAAAGTAAAAATCAGTTATGAAAATAACTGATAGCAAATAACCAATATTTCTGCACACGGTGAAAACACGCAAGTGAATGACACTGAGTGGCTGGGGGATAGCACATGACATTTCTTGCTTCTGCTCAGTCAGAAGAGAAGGTTCATGAGACACTTCATGAGAAATTTTAAATATTTGATGCAGATGAGACCCTTCATGAGAAATTTTTAATAAATATTTGATGCACTTTAAGATTGTAAATCTTGAGTTAAGTCCTGGTGGTCTGCGACAAAAAAAGATATTTAAAGGGAGTCAGTGGTAGAGAAAAGGTTAAGAACCACCGGAGACATCAAATACAGTTCTCAAGAAATCAAACTGTACTGTCTCAAGGGGGCAGAGGTCCTTAGATACACATAGGTCTGAACCATGGAGAAGTTGTGCCAGTGGCTTGCCTTGGAAGACTTTTAGTACTGATAGGAGGATATAGAAGAGCCCCCTTTGAAAAGAAGAATCTCAGGATGGCAGTAATAGGGTTTTTTTGAGCATTTTCAGTGCAATGGGTAATGTGGCTCTCCACAGCCCAGTTGTCTGAAAAATGGCACCTGAATATTTATAGGTCTTGATAAGAGATAGGCACAGACTACCAGTTATGTGGTTTGTGCTGGTTTGTCATTTGGATGAACAGGTATTTAGTGCTTCCCAACTCCTCTTCCTCTGATATGCACCCACTCGGACACAGTGCCCGGAGGAAGCAGGGGCTGGGAAGCGCTGAACACCCGTTCATCCAAAGGACGAACCAGCACAAACTACTGAATCATCTCTAGTCTTGACCTGTTCAATCTTGTGTGGTCAAGGAATACTAAGCTTGTTTTCATATAGTTAATCAAGTGTCCTAAATTCCCTTGACCCTTGCTGAGACCTAATATTTACAGACCAACTCAAGTTTTAAAATATCAGGAAATTACAGAGATGTAATTTAGATAATGTTGATGTGGTTTCCTATGCTTAGTTCCAACTTTTCTACTACCTTGGAGCTGGATTGCCCTCGGTGGTAGAATCATGGACTTCAGTTCCAGGTGTGTTCATTCACTGGAGTTCAGTTCCCCACTGTGCCTCCAGGATGAAGAGATGGCTTGTGTAGTCTTGGGTGTGTGTGTGTGGGAGAGTCCCTAGGTGTCCCCAGAAGAAGGGAATGCTCATCCACTTCTGAGCACTGTATACCTAGAAAACCTCAGCAAGAATCTCCATGACAGCATGTTGTTGTTGCCCATTTACAGGAATAGACACAGTCTATATAACTGAGTTGGGGAACTAAAATGGTCATTTCTACATGACAATTATCCACTGTGTTCCAAGGTGGAAACAGAGTGCTTGGAGAAGATAGGCCTTTGGCCTAACCCACCTGAATCTTGTGCTGCTTTTTGTGTTTTCTCTCTCTCTCTTCTCTGCCCATCCTTTTTCATGCCATGGAGATGATAGGGAATGCAGCCTAAACATATTGAGAGCTTGAATAGTTATTTTTGAAAAGGTACCATTACAGTTCCAGTTGCAACAGAGCACTACCACCACACAAGCTAGTGGATTTCAACAGAAGATTCCCGTTACAGCATGTAGCAAAGCCAGATTTTAAAACTAAAATATGATAGACACATAACCAAAGAAGTGAAATTTTGGCAATTGACTAAACTCATTGCTCTCAAAGTTCCAGCTGTGTTCCTTACCCTGCCAGAGTGCTCATGCCAATGTCTGTGCTTTTCCTACCTAGTATTCCAAAATTTTAGTATGGCAAGTTGTCTGGTCTGTCCAGCTGAGGGCCTGGTGTATTTTAGGGATATCTGCATCCCAACACATTTGTACTGTTGCCCCCCTCTCACTCAGGGGGTGATGGAGTTTTGCTGCCATACCTGGCCATGACTATTGAGCATCACTTATATTTTCATTGATGCTGGGAGTGTGGCCACTATTGCCACTCCGGTCAGTCCTTTCTTCAAGTTGATGCTCCCCCTCCCAACTGCTTTCCAGTCTCCATGCTGGATGTGAGTAATCCGCATGTTACTCTGATGTGCTGCATGTACAAGTGGCCTATCTGTCTAGCTGGGTTATATGCTCATTACCTTTACAAATCTGTTGCTGCACAATGGGTTCTTGGTTTGAGAAAATGATAAATCTATGAACTGGAATAAAACAACCCACCAATAAACTACAGAGCATTTTAGCTGAACTGAGAACTTGTTGGGACTTTTTAAATAATGCAATTTGCTGCAGGTATAAAGTGGTTGGTTTTTTTGGAAGCAGGAAGTGTTCCTACTATATATACAGACTTTTCTAGTGCAATTTAGAGCTAACTTCTTCCACTGTTGAGAAGACACAGGAAAAAAACACTCTGTGAGAGGTAAAGAAATAAGCCTTTTTTGGAGGGGGGCTGCTTTGCAAGGCAATGCTATCATGTTTACATTCCAATATAAAATAAGTATTTCAAATATATGAAATTCTTTTTTATTTTATTATCAAAATTAAAAATAAAACCAATGTGGCCAATGAGATTTATCATGCTGTTACTAAACTACAAAATGTGTTTTCCAAGTTGGGAGGGATGAAATAACTGAACAAAAACAACATTCATAGGAATTCTCACCACCAAAAACATATTGGCTGATGAGATCCTGTTGCTCAGGATAGCCACACTAGAGAAGGCCCATTGAATCAATGGGGATTGGGAGAGTCAGTTCTTCTATGAGCACCATTGATTAATTGTCCTGCTCCAGTTGCAACTTACTACACTAAGCAACAGGATTTCAGCCAATGGTTGCGATTACGTTTCATTGTAATCAGTTTAACCCGTTAAATTGTTCCTTGTGCAAATAACTGTCCTGAAGGCAAAGCCCACCAAAATAATTAAAATATTCTTTGAAAGGACTCCAGTATTTAAGATTGGGGAAGTCTGATCATTCCCTTCCATATCTTTCATTTAAAAATGCTCTGGAGAAAACCTCTCGACAATTGCAGGTGCTCCATGATTGTTTCTGATTTCGCTTTAATGGCAAATCTGTTAATCTTGTTTGTTTTCCAAGTTTAGTTTAGGTGGAGGTTTACTGTTGATTTTTCCTATCCTTCTTTTAGGTTCTGAGGTCCCTTAAGGCTCCCCTTTGCCTTGGAGAAACCTTTGGACAGGGAGAGGAACCTGTAGCAGTGAAACAATCATTGTCAGATTACTGCCAGCAATCCCAATCCCTGTGGTAGCAATCCAGCGGCAATTTTTACTACTTAGTACCTTCTTTCAAGACCTGAGAAGGGCTGTTAATGGTAAGGAGGTCCTTTTGAAGGTCATTAATTCATAGGATTGCTGTAACTCAGAAGTAACTCTGGTAGTACACAACAATGCCCATGGGTGTCCCTGCCTGGAGGTAAAACAACACTACACAAATAGCTTGCTCACACCCTTAAAGTAGTAGATAACTGTGCGACAAATCTACATTTTTGCCCTTGAGTGCAAGTTTTTTCTTTCACAAATGGTAAGTATGGCAGGCCTGATGTAGACTGGACTTCTTGCAAGAGGGTTGGGGGGCTGTCCCCTTTGGTCCTCTGTGCCCTGACACAGTGTGGGGCATTTCACGTTCATGTAGACATGGCCATGAAACTTCCCACATACTCAAATGTTAACTCTTATATTTCTGAAGCAAACAGCAGGGAAGCTCCCAACCAGTCAAGGCCGATGACTCTGAATGTTGTTGGGGTGGGGGAAGGTGGGGGAAGAATCCATTCAGGGGTTTTAGCTTGAACATTACATGAGTGATCTGGCATGTGGAATTCTGGCTGAGCATCTGGGATGGCTCCTTTAAACCTTGGACTAAAATTCACCAGAACGTCAGGGTCACTTGCTTCATTGCCCCCACCAGAAGCTAAGGCTGCTGTCCTAAGCATACTTATTCAGAGAATAAGTCTTACCGAGCAACTCTGAACTTCTTCCTGGCAAATATTGCTTAGTGCTTACACTACGTGCTGTTAAGCAAGGGAGGATTCTTCTAATCAGATTTGTTTATTCTTTTTGTTTCCACAGAAATGCTTTTTCTCATTGTCCTTCTGCCTTTGGCTATGGTGCGTCAGCAATCTCTAGCAGAGGTAGGAACCTTAAGCCTTTCATGGAACATTTCTTCTTTTTCACTTCATGGCTATTTTGTTTTCATTTTATTTCAGGGATAGGGTTAAAACCATTTGACAGAAGGTATTTGGAGCAGCTGCGATTTTATTTTCTCCAGAAAGTTCTGGGGTACAATCCCCCAAATTCTATTAATATTGCAACTGCTTATGATACTGTGAAAAATGTGTTGATATTGTTTTCAAAGCTCCAATGACTATGGGGACTACTGAAGTGTGTTTTATCCACAAGCAAGATGTTTCAATTGCCAGGTCTTTGAAGTTTGTTAGTTTTTCCAATTATTTATTTTCAACTCTGGCATCTCCTGGAATTGCAATGTCAATGATCCAGACATTTCTTTGTTCTATTACTACTATGTCTGGTGTGTTATGTTCAAGGTATCTGTCCGTTTGGATCCAGAAATCCCACGAGATCTTGATTTTGTCATTTTCTGATACCTTATCCACCTGATATTCCCAGGGGTATTTGGAAACTGGCAAGTTATATTTTTTGAATAATGATCAGTGCACTAATTTTGCCACTCTGTCACGTCTAATTTTGTAATCTGTTTGTGCAATCTTTGGACATTCACAAATGAGATGTGACATAGTTTCATTTTTTCTTGGCAAAGTCAACATTTGCTGTTAGCAATAATTTCTTGAATCTTAGCCTTCATTACATTGGTTTGGAGTGTTTGTTCGTAAGGAGCAAAAATCAAGTGTTTGGTTTCTTTCTTAATGGTCCTGTTTTAGCCATGCCCAAATTGAATTATTATCATGTGTTCCATCAACATTTCTCAGGTGTTGTCCATGTAGTGGTTTATTTTCCCAACTGTTGAATTTGTTTTCAAATTGTTGTTTCTTATATTGAACTTTTTTTCCTGTTGTTTTCAAAATATTCTCATTTTCACTGCCTTAAATAATTTTTCTCTACTTCTACTTATATAATAATTTAGGCTTCTTTTTTCCTTCTCTACTACCTGTTGTACTTGCAGTTGTTGTTAAAAATATCAGACACAGTCAATCAAAACTGTAAAAACATTAACTGGTATTATATAACAGATACAAGTTTTAACCAAAATCCTAAGTATCTGTTAAATATTGGCACAGTATGTATACTGTTCCTAATATTGCCATTTTTTGTAGTTCTGGAGGTGTTATTTCTGAGATCTGCAACTTATCATCATCATCATCATCTTAAAAATTAACATGAAACAGTATAAATAATGTGTTCCCCCTCTCTGGGACCATTTGAAGATATAAGCAATTTGCCATCCATTTACAGAGTCCCATTCCCCTTCCAAAATTGCATTGACTACTTGGAAAGGTGCACAACCCTTCCCATTTATTAATACAAAATTGATGAATTATTTTCAAATATCAATAAAAATATTGGTTGTTGTGGGTTTTTGGGCTCTTTGGCCATGTTCTGAAGGTTGTTCTTCCTAACATTTTGCCAGTCTCTGTGACCGGCATCTTCAGAGGACAGGAGTCAGAACTCTATCTGTGTTCTGGTGCAGTTTGTTTGGGTAGTTGAGTATTTATAGCTGTGGGATCAGTTTTTGTCCTTTTCAGGAGATGAGTGATTGTGGTGATCAGCGTGTTTTTTTGTTGTGGGTGGATTGTTGTGATAAGAGGGAAAGATTATCTGTCACTGTGATTGATGGGTGTCTTTAGCTGGTCTTTTGTGTGCAGTGATCACCAGGGTCCTAATCGCTGAGTAGAGTTTGTTGACCTTTTGCAGGCTGTATTTTTCAGTACTGGGAGCCAGGCTTTGTTGAGTTTTAAACGTTCTTCTTTTTTGTTGAAGCTCTGCTGGTGTTTGTGGATTTCAATGGCTTCCCTGTCCAGTCTAACATAATGATTGCTGGTGTTGTCCAGTACTTCAGTATTTTGAAATAGAATTTCATGTCCAGCTTGTTTTAGGGCATGTTCAGCTACTGCTGATTTTTCTGGTTGTT